CCTCCTCCTCCTCCTCCTCCTCCTCCTCCTCCTCCTCCTTCTTCTTCTTCTTTCTTCTTCTTCAGGTGAGTTGATCAGCTGATTAGAAAGGATGAATTTCAACGAACTAGAAGGAGATGAAGAAATTGTTCAGACTGCAGACCAGGCACATGCAGATGGAAAATACAAAAGGGGGGAAAGACAACAGTGAGTCATAAGGACGTGATATTGGTTGAGAATATTCCAGAACTGTTATAAGATATGAATCCGCAGACAGGGATCTCAAGTATGAGACCAGCCTCAGCAATTTAGCGAGGCTGTCTCAAAACACATAAAGTGATCTGTGGTGGAGCACCCCTGCTGGGTTCAACCCCAGGACAGCAGAAGGACAAACCCACTCCCGGAAACATGCTGGTGAAGCCGCAGAACGCCGAAGACGGCCAAATTATCCGCAAGGACGGACTTCTTTCTCTCTTTCTCTCTTTCTTTGCGGCCTGTTTCAACGAGAACTTCCGAAGACAGACTGAGCCTGCTGACCCCTCCAAGCCAGCTGCTGCTGGCCGCCCACTGAGGTTCGGCGGGAGTGGGTGTCTCCAGGCCGGCCTCACCCGCTCAGGCACAGGTGGGCGCAGGGGCTGGGCCTCCGGAGGCAGCTGCGCTCGGAGGCTGCCTCCGGGGGTCTCCTTCTGCGTGCTTCCCAGCCTCTCGGCAGCGGGGGTCGGGGTTCCGGAGGGTGGGGAAGGGGCCGCCAGGGTCCGGCGGAGTCCGGTGTCATCCCCGCGCCCCGCCCCGCCCCGCCCCACCCGGAGCTTTAGGGGGCCTCCCGGGAGTCCGAGAACCGGCGTCACGCCCCGGCATAGAACTGCTCCTCGTGGGACCCCGGGTTCCCCGCTGGGGACGGCAGCAGCAGGCGGAGATGTCGGACCAGGCGGGCGCGGGCGGCCGAGGCCAGCACGAGCAGCGGCGGCAGCGAGAGGAAGCCCAACACGATGAGCGCAGCGGAGCCGCGATCCGAGAGCAGCGCGCGGCACCTGGGGCCAGGCGCCGGGTGGACCTGCGGACCACCCCGCGGAGGGTCAGGAGGGGCGGGGCCAGGCGGCGGGGCGGGGCCGGCGGGGGCGGGGCGGGGCGGGGCGGGGACTGGGCGGGGCCAGGAGAAGGGTGTGGCCTGGGGCGGGGCCCGGGCGGGGCCAGGTGAGAGTTGGGGTGGACAGAGCTGCTGTGGGCCAGGTAGTGCTGAGGACCGAAAGGGAAATTCGAGACCTAGGTGGAACCTTGATAGACTCAAAGAATCGCCCCCGAAGTCCCACTTTCGTTTTCCTGTCCCCATCCGCCCCCTCTCCCCATGGCCCTTCCCTGTGTTGGCAGCAGACCTTGAACCCCGGCCCGGTTGTCACCAGCCAGCACCACTTCTCCCTCCCCTATTATAGGCTACAGAAAGGGACAACAGGGTCCATCTCTGTTCACCCTCCATTCCCAGACCACGTCATAGCCCACTGCACAGGTGGAGAAGCCCAGCCCAGGCCAGGAGGGGTCTGGGAAGGACTGGGGGGAGGGCCAAGGGTGAGATGGGGCTGAGGACTAGTGAAATTTGACAATAATTCCATCTTCTCTTGCTGGAACCCGCCTCCCCTCCCCACCTCTACCYGGCTATTCAGCCTCTGATATCCCTGGGACAAGCTGGGAGGCCTCAGGTGGGGAAGAGAACGGTCCCCTGGGAACAAATAGAAGCCTTCTCTGACTGCAGCCCGTGAGGGACTTGGCAAAAAAGGGGCTCCCAGGGAGGAGCCAAGAGTTCCAGGGTCCTTGAGCCTCTGCAGGACCCCCACTTCCCAGGGACCCCTCCCACAGAGGGCCCAGGCTCACCCTGGAGTGGCACAGGAATCCCAGGTAGACAATGCCAGCTGCGGGCAGCAGTAACAGCAGAAAAACGGTTCCAGGCAGCAGCAGATGGAGCAGGAGCACGGCCAGGGCCCTCCCAGGCAGCAGCAGGGTCTTGAGACCTCGGAAGGCCAGACCAGACCACCCTGGGCTTCTCAGGGCTGAGGTGTGATGGTCAGGAGGCCTTTGAGGCAGCATGGGTGCTGTGTCCAAGGTACCCCCTCCCTCATCCTCTTCTGTCTCCCTCTCCTGATCACTCATGTTCCTCTGGCAGCGGAMCTGGGGGGCTCACAGTTGTGGTAAGGTAGCAAGACCAAGCTCCCCAGGATCAGACTAGAGACCCTTTAACCCTCCCCAGATTCCACCCCCAACCAGAGTTCACCCACCAGATGGTGGACACTGGCCCAGGTAGGACTAGCCCTGATGACCAGTCTCCGGGGCCACACCCCTGTCTGTTTCACCCACTGCCAGGCTGAACCACTCTCTGCCAGGTGCCTGCAGCCAGCTCCTGTGTGCTTTGGTCAGGCCTTGCCCAGCTGTCCCTGCAGCTCAGCCTGGCAATGGGGCCCTCCTCCCTCCTGTCCGCCCCTCCCACCCCCACTTCCAGCTCCCCTGCACAATGACTTCATTTCATAGATCCTGTCACAGCTGCCACCTAGAGGCCAGACACCCACCCCACTTTCCTGCCCTAGCTCTGCTGGTCCCTCATCTCAAAACCCAGACCCTAAGCTTTAGGGATGTGGAAAATCACAGTGCCTACTTTGTAGGGCAGGTCATGAAGCGTGCCTGGAAAGTGCTCAATGTGAGACCTGGCACACAGTAGGTGCTCAGTAAACACCAGCTAAGATATCGAGCATCCTGTATGTGTGAGTCCAATCCATCCTGAAAGTGGGTCTAACACAGATTTTCAGATGATGGGAATACATGTTCTCTTATTGCAAGGGGGAAGAAGAGTGTCTCCAGTTCCGCTGAAAGCCTTACTGGATTGCCCCTGATATTAGTAAAGTACCTTAACACTCACCAGTCTTACACAATGTGCAGTTCTAGCACACACTGACCTGACACCTTTTCCCATGGGGGGCTTTTCATTCCTAAGTTTCCTTCTAACACTTTTCAGCCCTCTCCAGCTAGCCAGCTTCCTTCAACTCAAAGGGGTAGGGGTATGACATCAACAACAGAGAGCATGTGACATGCTCCCATTAGGACAGCTGAGCCTCCCCTGCCCCAACACACAAGGAACTCAATTGTTCCGCTGGCACACCACACGATGTGATAGTGGCTGTTTGTATATTCCAGTAGTGACTTTGGGGTAAAAATGTTGCAAAACAACTCTTGCTGGGCAAACCCTCTGCCAGTGAGCTACATCCCCAGCTGGCAGAGCATCTCTCTAATGAGTTCATCTTCTCTTCAAGGCCGTTCTTCCTTCAATCAACACTGAATTGCTGCTGTGTGATGAAGGCCATTTTTCTGTTGCTATAACAAAATACCACAGACTGGTAATTTGTAAAGAAAAGGTATTTATTTGGCTCATAGATCTAGAGGCTGGGAACTTTAGGAGCATGGTGCTGGCATGTGGCCAGGGCCTTATGTTACTTCATTCATGGCAATGACAGAGCAAGCCTGATAGGTCAGGTCTCTCTCTCTCTCTCTCTCTCTCTCTCCCTCCTCCTCCTCCTCCTCCTCTTCTTCTTCTTCTTCTTCTTCTTCCTTTCTTCTTCTTCCTCCTCCTCCTCCTTCCCTCCTCCTCCTCCTCCTCCTCCTCCTCCCCCTCCTCCTCCCATCCTCC